GGCTGCCCTCCCACCCCTCTTTTTGTTGGCTATTACACCTTTGCACTTTGCAATAGGTTTTTTTATTGTTGTTGTTTTCGTTTTTGTTTTGTTCCAGCATTTTAGCCCTATAAATAGCAAATATAATTTTATTTATTTTTTCCCATAAAGGCAAAGGCACTTCAGGTAACCTCCCCCTCCCCTTTCACTCGCTGTTGGGTCACAACAGCCTTTTCCCTGCCCTGTCCAGCCCCTCCCTATGGACAAGCACCCCTCACTCCCGACCCACAGGAGGAGCAGGGTGCAGGGACAGCGCAGAGCCAGAGAGGCATGGGGAACAGGGGGAGAAGGGTCCACCATGGAGAATGGGAGGCGCAGACCCAAAGGAGCACAGGGACCGGGGGTAGCAGGTGGACTGGGGTGCTGGTGTGCGCAGAGGCAGAGGGGTGTGGGGGGGTACAAGGGTGATGCAGGAAACAGGAGGCACAGAGCCAGAGGGATGCAGGGAGTGGGGGGGAGCAGGGTGCAGGGGAGGCACAGGGAATGGGACGTGGGGAACAGGAGGGGCAGAGGGATCGGGGTCTAGGGGCAGTGCAGGGAATGGGCAGCACAGAGCTGGGGGGGCAGGGATCGGGGGGAGCAGGGTGCAAGGGCGGCGCAGAGCCAAAGGGTCGCAGGGAAGAGGGAGAGCAGGGGATCTGGGGTGCAGGAGCGGCGTGGGGAACTGGCGGCGCGGAGACAAAGGGGGGCTGGGGCCAGCAGGCCAGCTCCAAGAAACACACAACCAGAGCCGAGCTGCCACGGCCTTTTAAAATCAGCAGGGCCATGTCACGCCATCCTGGCATCCCGCCCCGCCTCCTTACACCAGAGCTGCACACAGGCAGCCCGGTGGCAAGAAGAATCACTGTTCTTCCCCCTTCCCAGCGGCGCTCTGCTCCTCCGTCGGCCGGCAGAATAGATGGGGCCGCGCCGCCTGTAGTGCAGACTTCCGCCAGCCAGTCACAACTGCCCACTGGGCCAGTCCGCCCCTGCACTCGCCAGCTGGTAAAATCTACTCGCCACAGGCGAGCGGGCGAATGTATTTGTCGAGCCCTGCTGATGATTGACAGTACTGTAACTTGCTGTGCTTGAGGGTGTTTTTTCACACCCCTGAGCCAGAAAGCCTGCAGCACAGTAAAGTGACAGTGTAGATATAGCCTTAGTTTGATTGGAGGGAAACAGATTCGGAGCGAAGAGGTAAAAAAGGCAGAGGGATTCTGCATTAGCAGATCTTCATGCAGGATCCGACTTCATTGTATTGGTGTTTTTCTAATATAAAGCATTTAGTCTGCTTTTGTAGCTAAGTGTTAATAATCTGCCCTCTTCCTAGAGTTCTGCCGAGGTTATTAGAGTATTTTTAAAGAGTGCGGATTAGATTAAATTGGAGTGAGGCCTTCATAAGTTCAAGATCAGGCTCTGAACTGCTGTCATTTTCAGAATAAACTGAAAAAAAATACTTGTTTCTTTCTGTTGCAGCCATCTTATGAGTAAAGTAGAACAATCCAAGGTTAAAAGACAGAACTGTGATTTTATTTTAGTTGGTGTTGCTAAGAAGCTGCTTTTATGTTATTTACTCTCTTACGCCACATCTGCATTATCAAGTTTTGTTGCCAAAAACTGCCTTTTGCGATACAACAGTGAGAGCCTACACACTGCAATGGGACTTTTGTCAGGAAATCTCCCAGTTTTGCTGACAAAAAACTTCCTCGGTAGACTTTTTTCTTTTCTCCACACTTTATTATCTACAAAGAGCCAGTGTAGACACTACCATTTGTTTTGTCAACAGAGCTGGCTTCTGTTCCACCAGTATCTCACAATGCCTGCTCTGATTGCTATGCTCAATGTTTTGATCTCTACTGAAACAAATTTCAGCTACACCAGACTAACACAGCTACATTTCTATCATTGATCTCTACTGTCCTTCTCAGCACTGCAGGGGGAGGAGGGACAGAATGCTATGCTGCTGCTCCTGGCAGCAGAGGAGGCTATGGAAATCCCAAGATGTGCAGTTATCAGCTTTGCCTTTACAAAAAACTGCACTGTGGGATACATACTCATAGTGCATTGCTCATACTGTTCATGCAGGTACCCCCAATGTTGACATGATCTGCCAAGAGAGGGAGCAAATGCGAACACCATCTGATAATTTTTGTTTTCAGAACTTTTGGGTGTCTACATAAGTTTTGTGGGCAAAACTTGGTAGGGTAGACAAGGCCTTAGATACTGATCCTGCAAACTGTTATGCAGGTGGAGCTTCCAATGCATAGTTGTGCAGGATTCAGGCTTTAGTGAAGGAATACTGGAGCAAAACAATGAGGATAGGCCTAACTCATGACATTTGCACAATTACACTTCAAAGAAAGTTTACATAGGTCTTAATGGTTTAAGAAAACGATTCTGTTAACAACATAATTCTTTTGGAGTGTCGTAGATATCTGAAAACTATAATCTTAGTTTCTTTTAAAAAAAATTCAATGTTACTAATTAACAGGGCTTGACAAACCGTGGCGAAATCTACTCGGCAGCCCCGCACTGCACATGCGCTAGACCCGCATTTTGCATGTGCGCGCGCCACCGGTCAACGGGGTGACCGGCTGAAATCTACTTGCCACGAGCGAGCAGATTCACTGATTTGTCGAGCCCTGCTAATTAATATATGGTAAATTATTAAAACTGGAAGTACTTTACCTTGCATCCTGTTTGGACTTTAAGTTGGATTCCAGACAAATGATTTCCATTAAGTTTTAGAATTTGTTTGGGGAGAGGTATTGAAAACCATTAAGACCACATCTTTACTATCTGGTATATTTCTGGCTCTTCAGAGTATGCCCATTGATTCAGAAGTAGCAAGCACTGGATATGGTGGTAGATGTTTTGTAGGATGAAGACCTTTTTTGCAAGCTCTCTGAAACAAGGATTGGTCAGCAAACTGTGAAGCTAGGTGCTAATGTGTTTCGGGGCTTCTTTTCTTTGAGTTGGTGACTCACACAATGTGAAAATTTCTAACCAGAACTTTACTGTTTGTTACAGGTCTCTGTTGCTCTTGAATAGCATGGATTCTAAACACGCAATTAAAATACCCCTAAGCAACAATCTGATGTTTTACTTCACTTTGTATTTTCAGTAGTATTATCTCCTATTTGTGGTTTTGTTTGCTGTCACTTTATTATTCATTTTTACTCGTCTATGTGTGTGCATTATCAGATGAAGTGGGTTTTACCCACAAAAGCTCGTGATACTATATTTTTTTTGTTAACCTCTAAGGTGCCACAGGACTACTACTTGTTAATCACATTAAGAGCTGACATCACAGAGAAACTGTATAAGCCTGAGTGAATGCCTTTTACTTTATTTTCCAGTATCAGAAAATATTGTATTAATATTTGCAATGAGAGCATGACTATTTCTAGTTGACTTAGATTTGCTTAGCATCTTAAAGCTGAGATAACAGGTATGCAAGAAGCATAGTTCTGTGAACTACAAAAGTCCATAGCATGGTAGCATTTTGGCAAATGCTTCATTTTTTGAGAGCAGCTTTCCCTGAAGATTTAGTCGTTTACGACAAGAATAAATTACTAAATTAGCCTTCTGGTGTGTATTTTTTATGCTTTAGCTTAATGGCCATGACATTGTTTTATTTAGAAGTGTTTTCATTATATCCCATTTTGGTGTGTTTACTAGCTTGGATTGTTAGAAAGGATGGATGATAAAATACATGCACTCCAAGGGCAGTATTAATTATTTTTCTATTAAATAAATATCTTATCCAGCGCACCTTGTTAATTATCCTTTTTCTAATATTTTCTTTTTTCACACCTATGAGCTGTTTGCAAATATATATTACTAGAAGACTTTCCTGGTGTTGCCTGGGTCCAGTCCGGCCCAGATCAGCAGGGCCTGCGCAGGCCACCTGCTGGCTTCTCCCCGGGACTGGGGGCTCTGTAGGCCATCTGCCAGCTACTCTCTGGCTGACCTGGAGTGGTGGGGGCTCCCCAGGGCTGGGGCGCTTGCTGCCTCCCTGTAGTCATTTGTGAGTATAACTGTTCCTGTTATCACTCCCTTCCCTTTCCATTTTCTGTGAAACAATTGCATTCCATACCCATCTCATTGTTCTGGCACAATCAAACCCTGGCCTTGCTTTAAGTTATAAGAGAAAAGTGCGGATCAAATTTGGTGGTCCTGGCTTACTGTTTAGGAGGAGTTGCTGAACAAATGGACTCACAGATTGATGGACATACAGACAACCTCTCTACAATATATAGCAGATATCTAGGTTTGTTGCTTGTATTAGTAGTGCACATGCACACATTACCCCAATATTGTTATTGCACATAAGAAAATTCAACCCATACATAGATGAAAGTATTAGAGGGAACACTGGTGTGTACCCACAACGTTTTGCTGTTATGGCTATATTAGTTCGGACTGGAGGACAGGGTTGGAGAGAAATAATAAATCATATCCCTGAGAACACTATGCAACTGCCAACACTATGGAGACATACCTTACACTCGGAGGAGACCCCTTTTTCATTATAGCCTATGTTGTTTGGGAATCTCGTTTAACTATATTGACAAAAACTACTTTTGCCAGTATAAGACTCAACTCTATTCCAGATATACCAGCAAAGCTTCTGTAGTGTAGATTGACTCCAAGTGCTACTGTCCTAGTTCACAAAAGTTTATACACTATAGACGTCTATTCCACTTAGTTTATATATAAAAAACCCTAGTTCACAAAAGTTTATACACTATAGACATCTATTCCACTTGGTTTATATATAAAAAAAAAAAAATCTGTCATCAGTGGTATAATATTGACTCCATCAATGTTACACCAGTGACAAAGATAGCCCATGGTCTTTGAATTAGTGAAGAAGGTATGTATAATTTCTCAATGTATTATAGGATAAAACAATGAAAAATATAAGCATTATTTAACATGTGCCATTGAAGACGGGTATACACTTTACTCTTTGTTACCTTCTCCTTTGTCTTGACTGTCACTTGGGTCTGTGGCACAAATGCAAGAAAACCAGGTGCATTAGGTCTGTAACGCCCAACTTTAAACACTCCCTGTTTAGCTTTCTCTCTTTGTTCTTTTATTTTTCGAAGTTCTTTTTCCTCTTTGTAGCGCTGAAGCATGTCCTTGCGCTCATCACTTTTCTTGATGGCTACATTTGGAATCTGCCCTATGAAAGGATAGAAATGGACATTTAAAAAAATTCTCAGGATACTTTACTGTCTCAAATTTTGTTACCACATGACTAGAATACTAATGTTGCTTAGAAGGTTACGTAAGTCATTGGATAAATATTTAGAATTCTCCTATTATGATAAAGGATGGGGCTGAATTGCAGCAGAAGTGCTCATTATTTACTTTGAGATTGAAATTTGTAATTAGGGCTGTCAAGTGATTACAAAAATTAAACACAATTAACTGTGATAAAAAATTTTAATTGCGATTAATCCTGTGTACTGCCCCTTTGAAATGCTGCGGCAGCATTTCAAAGGGGCAGCACTATGGAAGCCTGGAATCAGCTGAAGTCCTCAGCTGACCTCAGGCTCAGTGCAGGTGCCCTTTTTAAATGCAGAGGCAGCGTTTCAAAGGGGCAGCACCCCAGGAGCCTGAGATCAGCTGGAGTCCCCAACTGACCCCGGCTCGGTGCAGTGCTGCCCCTTGGAATGGGCGCCCTGGTGTTTCCAAGGGGCAGCACCATGGGAACCCAGTGTCAGCTAGAGTTCCCAGCTGCCGTGGCGCTTCAAAGGGGCAACACATTAGAAGACAGGGATCAGCTGGAGTGCTGGGATCAGCTGGATCCCCGGCTCCATGTTGCACTACCCCTTTGAGCAATGGTCCAGCACTTCAAAGGGGCAGTGCAGCATTCACGCCTGTGACTTACAAGTTAAAAAAATTTGTGTGTTAATACTTTCCTGCGTTAATCGCAAACATTAACACACATTAATTGACAGCCCTACCTGTTATGCAAGCACATCTAAGGACTTGTTTATTAACTAGTATTTATTAAATGTAGAGCTAGGAGCAGTGGTCATGGACCAGGGCTCCAATTGTGCTTGGCACTGAATAAACAAACAGTTAAGACAAACATTCTCTGCCCCAAAAAGCTTACAATCGAAGTACAGGATAAGAGTCAACAGATGGATACGGATGATAGAAAAGTTAAATTTATATCCACCCAATGAAATTCAGAGGCAACCCTAAGATAAATGAGGAGCAAATCGGATTCTGTAACATCACAGCAAATTAGATTAAAAGTACTGACAGCAGCCAAAAAACTGAAATGTTTTGTTACTGAGGGGAACAAATCAGATAGTGATTATGTGAGAGATTAAATATGCCAACTTGAAAAACAAAATTACACTTCCATCTGAAAAGTTTGTAGCTACTATTGATACAAGGATCTCCTACAATGACTAAAAAAAATATTTTTCTGTTTTTTTTAGTGTAGTTTGTATTTGACAGTACTGTACAGTTAGTTTTACTGTTTGTTCTATGTAGGTCAGTTTCTCTCTGGTTAAAAGACCTGTAAGAACAGCAAATTTTTTATTTGAATATTCTTTCAACAAGTTTAAAAAGACTGATAATACTGATGTATGAGAGGGAGATAGTATCCTACCATGTAGAACATTGCTCATTGGTTTGTGATTAAACTCCTTTCTTGGGCCACAAGGGGCCAGGAATACTGCAGAGACCACACACAGAATATCATGCAAGTTGTGTGTACTTGAAAGGGAACAGAAAGGAAAAAAAGAAGGAAGTAATCATACATGGCTAAGAACTTCTCCCTATCAGAAGATGCAGCATGGACTAGTCCAGAACAGAGCTGTATCAAAGCCCTCTTCAAGAGAAATCATCATGATGCAGGAATAGGAAATAATGATAGTCTTAGAACATAGAACGTAAGAATGGCCGTACTGGGTCAGACCAAAGGTCCATCTAGCTCAGTAGCCTGTCTGCTGACAGTGGCTAGCACCAGGTGCCCCAGAGAGGGTGAACTGAAGACAATGATCAAGCGATTTGTCTCCTGCCATCCTTCTCCAGCCTCTGACAAACAGAGGCCTGGGACACCATTTCTATCTCCTGACTAATAGCCTTTTATGGACCTAACCGCCATGAAATTATCTAACTTCTCTTTAAACTCTGTTATAGTCCTAGCCTCCTCTGGCAAGAAGTTCCACAGGTTGACTTCACGCTGTGTGAAGAAGAACTTTCTTGTATTAGTTTTAAACCTGCTACCCATTAATTTCATTTGGTGTCCTCTAGTTCTTCTATTATCTTCCTTAAAGTTGACCCAAGGTGTGTAGAGAAATGGCTATTTGATGACCATTTTATAAATAAAACTTTACTTAAAAAGGGTCAGTAATAGGTGTTATAAGCAGGGCTTGACAAATCATGTAATCTACTCACCTGTGGCGAGTAGATTACAAGCTGGCACAGCTGGCGACATGTGATCTGCACTTGCGCAGCTAGCAGAACCGCGCGGCTGGCGAGCGGGGCTCGCTGCTGCTAGGTAAGCCCTGGTTATAAGCATATCTTTCAGATCTACAAGGGTTCATTTCTTCAGTTTTTACAATTTCTAGAAACCCTATTTCTTTGCCACGCCCTGAGCTCAGCTTTTCACAAGGATGAGGCTCCTTGGCTCAGACTCAAACAGGGCTTTTGGGCTCCATCAGGAAGCATGCACTCAAAAGTATTTCCATTGGGATTGTCACTTTGTTTTGAAAGTAAAATGGAATACAGTATCAAATAATCCTGAGTTTATTGTGTAATAGGGATTTTAAATTTAGATTAATCAGATAATCAAATAGTCGATGCAATTTGCACCAACTATTCGATTAGTTGATAAAGGCACCTTAGCTTTTGAAGTATAGCAACAGCCCCAGAGCTATTGCTACACTTCAAAGGCAAAAGCACTGCAAGGAGCAGAGGGCCAGTCCCCCGTCAGCCCCGTGCTCCCTGCGGCATTTTAAAGCAGCAGTGCCGTGTGGAGCCCAGGATCTGGCCCTATGGCTCCATGCAGTGCTGCCACTTAGAAGCACCCCCTTCTCTACTCCTCCCCCGTCTCTTTCTGACAGAGGCAGTAAGGGGGAGATGGAAAGCGACAAGTCGACTAATGTGTCGACTATCCAATAAGCATTTGCTTATTGATTAGTTAACTAGTCGTTCACATCCCTATTGTGTAATAGACAAGTTTGAGATAAAAAACAGACCCAATTGCTCCATTATGCTATATCTTCTTTGAATCTGTTTTATAACTGAGTTCCTGCTTGTCTGCAGAAGTTCACTTAACTTACTATCTTCATATCTCCTCCCTTTGTTCTCCTGCTTGGTTCTTTTCCACTCTGCTTCCCTGCAGAGAGTTGGAGAAAGTGACTTGCTCTTGGCTGCTAATCATTAGGAGTAAATGGTTCAGTCACTGGGTTTGCCATTCCCCACCAGCCAGTTCTTATTAAGATACCTTATTCTGACCCTCTGTGACAGCCAGCAATGTGGCACTTCCCCTGTGCCTAGAGCAGGAATCAACCTTACACAATGGACTTGTCTGCACTACTGAGCCTTTGCCAGTATAGCTACCACAGCAGCTGGTTGAGACCCAGTAAGCAAAGTTCTGTCAGCATATCCTCCCCACCAAACAACATTAGTTAAGCCAGCAGTCTCCAAGCATTTTAACCACAAGATCACTTTTTCAATTCAAGTGCAATGTAAGATCTACCTCAAACCCAAATACCCTTGTCCCCCTTTCTTCCCGCCCCAGGTTCCACCCCTTTTCCAAAGCCTCACCCTGCTCACTCCATCCTTCTTCCTCCCCCATCCTCACTCACTTTCACCAGGCTAAGGAAAGGGTTTGAGGTGCAGGCTCTAGTCTTGGGCCAAGGGGTTCAGAGTATGGGAGGGGCTCTGGACTTAGACCGGCAGGGGGAATTGAGGTCCAGGAGGGGATTCAAAGTGCAAGCTTAGGAAGGAGTTTGGGTGCAGGGGAACTCATGTCTGGCGCAGAAGAATGGGTGCAGGAGGGAGTTCAGAACTGAGACAGATTCAGGATGCAGGCACTGGTTGGGCACTGAGACAACTTTTGAGTGGTAGGGCAGTGCCTTGGCCCTGTATCATCCCTGAAAGCAGCTAGCATGTACAGCAGTGGCTCCATGATGCTATGTGCTGCCTCTCATCTACAGGCACTGAGCCCACAGCTTCTACTGACTATGGTTCCCCGTTATTGATCAATTGGAGCTGCAGGAGCAGGGATCTAAAAGCAAAAGCTTATCAGATAGTCGACTAGTCACTTCCTCCACTTGCTGTCTCTATCGAAGGCAGCGGGGGGAGAGGGGGCAGGAGCAAGAGCCGGTGCTGGGGCTAACCGGCTTACAAGCCGGTTCTCCCCAGCACCCTCTTCGTGGGGGGAAGGAGTAGTAGCAGGGACCAGGCATTAGTCAGGAATCAGCTGATTCCTGGCTCACGCCCAGTCCCACACTTTGGTTTTTCAATGTATTAAGAGCCTACTGCCTCTAAACACATTTAAAAATCAGAAGCACAATAGGGGGATGTCATGGTCATGAGGAATGGCCAGCAGCCTGGGGACTAAGGGGTTAACTGTACCTACCCAGGTAGCAGTCATCCAGTAGAAATGCAGATAGGGATTTCAAACTGAGACAAAGGAATTTTTGGGTTTTCCCTCCTTTGTCTCTGGGCAGTTACTCTCCAGATACTGAGAGGGACAGACATCATGTCCCACCCCAAGAAAAGACTATTTACCATCTGTAAGTAGTGAAACATTTAGATAAATCCATTAGGTTTTTTTGTTTTATTGTTTGGGAATAGGAATCTGATGTCTGTGCATTTAGAAATGGGTTTTCCTCTCTTTTGTAACTAAGTTTTGTTCCCATGGCAAAATTCCCCATGAGTTTATTAATTGGTGGCTCTTACCATCTAGCCAATCCAACTATGCTTGTAACAGGAGTGTTGTGATAATAAAAGTTCTTTCTTTTTTATTTACCTGGTATTGGTTCAGTTCTGTCCTAGAAAATCTGTCTGTGGGACCTGCATGCCTCTTACTAGGGGATAGCAGTCACAGACTGCAGTTTGTATTTTTGCTTTCTTTTTTCAAGCTCTTTGGGTGTCCTGGAGTTGGTTTCAATTGTCCACCCATTTTTGGGTTCAAAAGCACTTGATGGTGGCAGTGGATTTTTATCCCCCAAATCTAGGTTTTTAGGATTGGGGGGAGGGGTTTATACCAAATCTTGGAAATATAAGGTTTTGGGGTACTTTTTTGGGCCCCCACTTCTGCATTCATTGTGCCCGAGTGGGGAATTAGCCTTGACAGGGGGACCCAGTGTTAGCTGGGACAGCTGATTCCCATCTCGTGCTGGGTTCCCCCACTGCACACCAGCCTTTTAAATATACTAAGAGCTGGTGGGTTAATTAACCTATATTTAACATCCCGAGGAAGTAGTGGTGTCTGCAGGCAAGGACAGCATGTGAAGATGCCCCTGCTCTGCCTTTCTTAGGGGCTGCAAGGACATTAATTACCAGGGCTTGCTGAACTGCAGCGAATCCCGCTCGCCAGCCGCGTTATCCAGCGATCTGCGCATGCGCAGATCGCCCAAACCCAGCTCTTCCAGGTTGCAATCTACTCGCTACGGGCGAGTAGATTGCATTATTTGTCGAGCCCTGTTAATTACCATAGCAGCCACAACAGGTTAGGCATTTTAGAATTTACAATTCAAAGAATCAAATTTAAACATGAGAGAAGTGAAAGTTATGAAATGCACAGACCAGTCAAAAACCAAAAGTAACATACTTCACAAGCAGTAGAAGTAGTAACAACAACCCATGTATGTGTTGGGTTGGGAGGTGAGAGTGAAGGACAGCTGGTGTTTGAGAGTATGAGTGGGGGAAGGAGGGACAACCTGACATCAGCGCCCCACCCTTCCTCCCATACCCTGCACAGCGAGCAGGAGACTCCCGGAGGGGTGGAAGTAGTATGAGTGGGGGAAGGAGGGACAACCTGACATCAGCGCCCCACCCTTCCTCCCATACCCTGCACAGCGAGCAGGAGACTCCCGGAGGGGTGGAGGTAGCTCCAAGGCAGAGGGCAGCAGCAGCATGACAGCGGGCAGAGGGGCAAGTGAAGTACCAACGCTTGATAACTTCCTGGCCAAACCAGTCAGAATCACCTGTCAAAGGCTCCAAGATCTACCGGTAGATCCTGATCTACTGATTGGTGCCAACTGAGCTAAGCCAACAGAAGCATTCTTCTGTTGATCCAGTTCAATCAAAATCAGGAATTCTGCCAACCTCGCTATGTCTGCTAGTGATGTGTGATTCTTTACCACACTCTTAACCAGCAGCACTTTGTAGCATAGGTGCAAGTATAATCAATCTCAGTAGGTAAAAATAGCAAAAAAATCCTGAATTCTCCACAGTATTTTGCAGACATTAGTAAGTTGCAAGCACAGCGCTTGTCCCTCCCCCCTCCCCCCCCAAAAAAAAACAACCAGTATGAAGCGGTCTTTATACAAATATGCATAATTTTAAGATGCTTTGGACAAAATACCTCATGTAACCTATCCATTTTAATGTCACAGTCTGCTTAATCTGTATACCTTATTTTGGTGCATGTATCATTCTTATAGGTAAAGTTAGAAATATGGGGTACAGAATGGTTTATGGCTTTAAATGTGCAAATGAAAGCCATCATGGATGTTTCCAATGCTCTGGCAACCTTAATGGCTGGGTGGTCAATTTAATGGCCTGTACAGAGCCTGGTTTTATCTCAAGTTTGACCAAACCAACTTATATGGATGTACTAGTTTAAGTAGGTAATTTTCCATGGAAGAGATGGGGACTGTAGAAACAAAGGATTCATGCCCAAAAGGAAGTCTATTTAAACTGGAAAGCTATCAGTCTGTTTGTGTTTGGCTGGCATGACACACCTAAAGGGGAAGCCAGGGATCTGGGTCAGAGTAAAAGATCTTCTCTTACTCTGAAGGTTTGCCCGAAATAAGAACAGTTTTAGGGTACATTTGAAATAAGCTTTAGTGTATTAGCACTAGCTATGCATTTTATTTTATTTTAATTCTGTAACTTACTTTGATCTGCCTGTTTTCACTTGCAACCACTTAAATCCTACTGTTTGTACTTTTCTGGGGGTTGGTTTCCTGGATGCTGTGCCCTTGAACTTCATTCTCCCAGGGCTGAAGTGATGCAGTGTAAGCATGGCTCTTTGGGGTGGGGGTGGTCATCTCAGCTCTGTACCTTGTGTGGGGGAGACCAGACAATCTGGTCCAGCAGGACAGGGTGGAAAGGAACCCCAGAGAACAAGAAGGTGAGTGTCAGTGCCTTCATCGGCACACTGGGAAGCAGCCCCAAAGGGTCTCCTGTGACCGCAGCCTGTCACAAGCGCATCAAAAGGTGTTATAGGTGGTCGTAAGCCAGAGATATAAGCAAAATGATTGAGCTGCTGTCTAGAAAATGTATATAAGTCATTAATCATTTATTGAAACATCTAATTAGAAGCAACTTACAAACTGAATCAATAAAATGTGCCAATAATAAGACATGCATGAAATCCAAAGCAGGCTGAAGAATGAAAAGAAGGAAAGGAAGAATTATATATTAGTCTTTTATTTATCAATTCAGGTAATATTCCGTAGAACTGGATTGTTAGCCAAAGACTCACCTCTCCCATTATCCAATCAATACACTGCTCATCTCCACACACATCCCTACAACTGCAAATGCAGCTTCTTTATCCATAAAGACAGCTTAAAGAAAAGTTAAAAACTGTTCAATGCTGAACAGTACTATAAACTTTTACTCACTCTCTTTAGTGGAAGTCTTTTTCTGAAAGCTCACTTCATTTGTCTCGTCCAGTTGAGGAAGTCTCCTCTCTTTTGAGGACTGGACATTAACATCTGCCAGTCCAAACTGTCTGCCTCTTTCAAATTGCTTGTGTCTGTTCTCCTTTTGAATCAGCGACTTCCTTCGTGCAACTTTTGTTCTCAGGGTTTCTGTGCTCAGATCCTTTCTGTATCGATTGGTAAACTGGGATGTAGCAGCCATCTTAAGTATCCTAAAACAAGTTTACAATGAATTAAGAAACAGACAAATGATCGAGTTATTTTATTGTAATTTTACAATAAAGCTTTTTTGAAGTAGCTACTGAAAGCTTCCAAATGCCTCATTTTTGTTAGAATTTCATTAATGGCTCTTCCCTTCAACAATATGTATCAGACACTAAGGCTGTGTCTACACTGGCATGAATTTCCGGAAATGCTTAAAATGGAATACTATTCCGTTTTCAGTTTTTCCGGAAAAGGAGCGTCTACATTGGCAGGCTGCTTTTCCGGAAAAGCCCTTTTTCCGGAAAAGCGTCTGTGGCAATGTAGACGCGCTTTTCCGGAAAAGAGCCCCGATTGCCATTTTCACTATCAGGGCTTTTTTCCGGAAAAGACTACTGGGCTGTCTACACTGGCCCTTTTCCGGAACAGTGTTCCGGAATAAGGACTTATGCCCAAGCGGGAGCAGAATAGTTTTTCCGGAATAGCGGCTGATTTTGTACAGTAGAGCATTGTTGCTTTTCCAGAAATTCAAGGGCCAGTGTAGACAGCTCGCAGCTTATTCCGGAAAAGCAGCTGATTTTCCGGAATAAGTGGCCCAGTGTAGACACAGCCTAAATATACTTTTAAACAGGGGATCCTAAGCCACTGTCATGCCACTCTTCTACAGGTTGGATCTCCCTGGCACAGCACTGGTCCCAGATAAGGGATTTTGCCAAACCAAGAGAGGTTATTTCTAGCCTCGCTGCTATCAGCACCCCAACACTGGTCCCTACCCTGCCCCCTTTGCCTGCCAAGCCAGGCAATCCAGCTCACAGGGGGCTCCCACTCTGCTGAGTAGCCCAGCTGGGGCACACCAGGCAGCCTAGCTGAGCAGCCCAGCTGCGGCATGCCACTCCCAGCCCCTCCAGGTAGCTCTGCTACAGCATGCCAAGCTCCCATCCCCACTGGGGCACACCCAGCTTCTCAGCTGTGGTGATCTAGGCTCCTGGCCCCCCGGTATCTCACTGCCAGCAGCCTGCTACCCTGCCAGTCCGCAGAGCTCCTAGGCACCAGCCCTCCACCGGGTTTCTCTGGTCCTTAAACATACACAGTCCAATGTTACCAGACCAGAGACTCCTGGTTTATAGAGGTTCAAACTGTAGTAGGGTAGTCTTTCGCCACCAGACTGGTACTTCCCCCGCTATCCTTACTGGGTGATGTCCTGTGCAATCACACCTGTTCATATCAAGGAATCATACAAGTAAACCAAAACACTGCAGAAGTTACTTCAAAACCATACTGTCACTGGCAATTTAGATGATTAACTTGTGGGGAAAAGGACCTCTTGTTTTGTGAGAGTGCCTAGCACTATGGGGCCACTATAGTTGACTGGAGCCTGTAAATGCTACTGCCCTACAAATAACTATAAACACAAATGCTACTGCCCTACAAATAACTATAGACACAAAACTTAAAAAACAACGAACAGTCTAGTAGCTCCTTAAAGACTAACAAAACATGTAGATGGTATCATGAGCTTTCGTGGCCGCAACTCACTTCTTCATTCAGTGTACCCAAAACCTGAGCCTCACTGCCCAGTGCTGAAGCATGTAACTTAGCTTTGTGGGAGCCCTATACCAGGAGGCCCCAGTCAATTACCCTTCTTGTCACCCCTTCATGGTACCCCTGCACTTACAACCCCCCAATCCTATCTCATGACCAGCTGTGTGCCAAGGCTCACAAATTGCAGACAAACTGCTGAGAAATAAAGCAGATACACTATGAAATTGGTGATTATTCTCCCATAAGATATCAAATGGGGCAACAAAAACAAAGTTATGTTTTGCTACACTGACTAATAAAGAAGTAATCAGAGAGATAGTAGCCTTTGGTATTCCTGTCCTTATATGGCCACCCAAAACATAAGATTTAATGAATGGTTATTTAAAACCATTTTAATTAAACAAATGGATCTTCTAATCCCAAAGGACGAGACACCCCGCCAGGTCAACGTATCATTCAGGACTCACCCAATAATCACCTTGTTGCCAATACTTTAGTATCTAAAATCTAAAGGTTTATTTATAAAAAAGAAAAGTGAGAGTTAAAAAAGGTTTATTTATAAAAAAGAAAAGTGAGTTAAAATTAGGGATGTTAAATATTGGGTAATTGACTAATCAAATAGTAAATGTATTTAAAGTGTAGCAACAGCCCTAGGAGTCCCCATCTGATCTTGGGTTCCATGCGATGCTGCCGCTTTGAAACACTGAGAGGAGCTGGCCTCGGTCTTGGGTTCCATGCGGTGCTGCCGCTTTGAAACACTGCGAGGAGCTGGCCTCGGGCTGCACATGGCATTTCAAAGCGGCAGTGCTGTGTGGAGCCCAAGGTCTGGCCCCAGGCTCCATACAGCGTGGCTGCTTTGAAGTACTCCCACCTCTTCCCCCCCCCCCAAAGCAGCAGGGGGGTAGGGGAAGTGACTAGTTGACTAGCCTGTTGACTATCCAATAAGCATTTGCTTATCGGATAGTTGACTAGTTGCTCCCATTCCTAGTTAAAATTGGTTAAAGGAATCAAATACACACAATAATTGCAAAGTTCTTGGTTCAGGCTTGTAGCAGTGATGGAATAAATTGCTAGCTTGAGTCAAGTCTCTAATTGCTTCCAATCATTGGAAGGGTCTCAATCCCTCAGCTAGAATGCTCCCATAAGTATAAATCCATAGGTCAGAACAGTGTTACCTCTCGGGCACACAGGTGGGCAGCCGCACAGGAGGAAACGAACTGCTGCACACAGACATGGTTTTGGCTCCACTAATTAGGACCCTGGAGACAACATAGACAGTGTGCTGATGGTGAGGAAATGCAGGATGGATGAGGATCAATGGGGGATCAGAACTAAGTCTGGAGCATTCCGTCCCCAGCTGGGCTGTGTATAACAGCCAGGGAAAGATGCTTGCTGAAGCAGGCAAAGAACAGAGAGTCTGACTCAGTTTCAGTCCCAGCTTTACTGCCTGGGTGCTGGAGGTAGACACACTCCCAACTCCAACTGGGATGGGGTATCAGGCAGAAGAGAGTCTGACTCCGTTTAATTCAGCACCCCCTGCCTGGGTGGTTGCAAGAGACTTAAAAGTTCCAGGTTAAGCTGCACAGAGAGGAAGGGGAGGAAGAGGTGAGTCCATTTGTTTTTGAGCCCCAGCTGGGCTGAGAGAGACAAATTCTCAGCATTAGCTGCAAAGGGGCACCAGACAGAGAAGAATCCAACTCCATTACAGCCCCAGTTAGCTGAGCTGTGGGGCTGGAATGGGAGAAAGTCCAAGCTCCAGCTCTGCTGAAACAGCAGGCAGAAGGGAGCTGGATGCTGGGAGGGAAGAAACAATTTCTGGCCAGAGAATAACTCCAGTAATTGTGCTTCAGAGAGATAGCCGAGTTAGTCTGTAACTGAAATTTAAAAACCAAACAAACAAGAAATAGTCTTGCAGCATCTTAGGGTGCGTCTAGACTACAAGGTTTTGTCGACAAAAGTGGCCTTTTGTTGACAAAACTATACGTGCGTCTACACTACCGCCGAGTTCTATTGACATAACGTCAACAGAACTCGGCAGTTTTGTCGACGGCAGTAAACCTCATTCTACGAGGAATAACGCCTTTTGTCAACAGAGTCCTGTAGGCAGAAGGCGTTATTGCATCTACACTGTTCTTTGCATCTATACTCTCATGTCAACAAAGCAGCTTGCTTTGTTGACAGAACTGGATGTAGTCTAGATGCTCTTTGTCGACAGAAGCTTCTGTCGACAGATACTGTCAACAAAGCCTCTGTCTACAAAAGCCTGTAGTCTAGACATACCCTTAGAGTCTAACAAAACATGTAGATGGTATCATGAGCTTTCATGGGCACAACTGTGTGTGTGTGTTTTTTTTTTTAAAGGAATCCGAATAGTTCATCTCTTCTCCCCAAAGCAGTCTTTAAAATTAGCTTTCTTTAATACTCACAAAAGGGACAATGTCTTTCTGTCTAGGTTTTGCATTAAAAGGCAGTTTTAATCCATGTGTTAATGTGCTCCCTTTACTGAAGGGGCTTTTTAAATTGATGAGGGTTCTCTGTGTATACCAGGTCCTGAGACGCCACCTGCTGCCTCCATAACAAAGGCAGCAGCATGGGACAGCAGGAGTCCCTATGTGTGGAGGGCTGGCTTAAAAGCGGGCTCCTGATGAGTTGACTGCTGCCCTGCATGTAACTGCGGACATTTTTCAGTTACACAGTTCCTCTCGCACATTCAAAAATCTCTAGTAGCAACAATGATCAACATCATCAGATTTTAATCAGATAATGCAGATACATCTGTACCCTCACAAGTATATGTTCCCTTGGTTGAGAACCACTGACCTGTATGGATGGGAGAACCCTCCTATGAGCACAGTTTATAATCTGCACCCTTAATATGTTAAATAGTTGCAGGAAGTCATAAAAAAAACAATATTTTTGTTGAGTGCGTGATTGTTAGAGACTTGACTAGACTCTAGCAGGCTTGAACATTTAAGATCCCAAGCTCACCTTTTGAAGGCATTGAGCAGGTTTCCTTTGAACCTAATGGTTACGGTAGCCTAAAATAAAGCATTCCAGAACTCCCTCTTTGAGCCTTCGAACAATCCCCCAACCTCATCACCACAAGCAATCTTTCAGACCAAATCACACCCATTCAAAGCAGCACTAGAACAAATATAACACACGCAGACATATGCCCGCCACCTGCGCAACATACATCTCAAGACCTGTAGGTCCTAGACCCGCCTCCCCCAACATGCTGCGTACCTCCTCAAGAGCATCAGACGCTTAGCAAGGACACAGGGGAAGCCACTCGCTCACTCTGCTCCCAAACCAACTCCCCCGGGAGAACACTTCTCACCAAGCGGTGGCGCCACAGCTGACGTCTCAGCGCCTCAGTGCTCCCCCCGGCACGAGGCCAGCCAGGGTTGCTGAGGGTCATACCCGCCCGAGCCCTGCAGAGACACTGGCTCTCGGAGCCCTTCTTCACCCCGCAGGCCAAGCCAGCGCTCCTTGCACGTAGCGGTGACAGAGCAAGTCCCCTTGGCTGAGCAGAGGCTGCTCCAATCACGCACCGCCAGGGGGCTGCCCCCTCTGCACGCGCCCCCTTCCTCCCGCCACTTGCACGCGCCAGCCTGTTGGTGATGACGTCATTCTGTCGCCCAGAGGATTCTATTGTCATGAATGGTGTTCTAGAGGGACGCAGCCCCGCCCCCTCCCCGCCGCCGCCGCCGGGCGCTGGAAGCCAGAGCCCGCTCCTTCCCCCCGGGCCGGCTCCCTTCCCCGCCTCCGGTCTCCCAGGCGCGGGGAGCCGGTTGCCCCTCCCCGCAGATGTTGGGAGCCCGTTCCTCAAGGACCCCCCCATCCTTGCCGTTAACGGCTTCCCTCAGCGCTGGATGTCGCCCCTGCAGCGAGCCCGGGCAGGACAACGCCAAGGCACGGAGCCCGTCCCGTGCCGCCGCTGGGGCTGCCCGGCCCTTCATACCTGTGCTGCGCGCGGAGCGACCCAACGGGCGCGACGGCTGCCCAACGTCTCCGCCGCGGAACTGGACCCTCGCCTTAATTCAAACCTCAGCCCACGCGCCTCATTGGCCGAGCCCAGCCCGCCGGCAGCTGCTCATTGGCCAAGCCCAGCGTCCCC